CGGAAACGCATCCGCATTGAACTAATCTCCAGTCCCGAACGTCTAAGCAAGCTCGTAAACCAACCAACCTTCAACGACTGTATTAAATACGGCGAAAGGTTGTGCGCCGTCATAATGGACACAAAGATTGTCAAGTTTCTCAAACCAATATACGTCGGTTTAGCAGTGCTTGACATTAGCAAGTCGCTAATGTACAAGTACTTCTACGACGTATTAAAACCTCATTATGGCGACGCAATTAGCCTGGTATACATGGATACTGGTGAGTACAACCGTACAGTAGAAATATTTTTACAATATTTATATATTTTTAATTTTTCTCAGACTCCTTCATATACCTGCTCAGAGTCAGCGACTTCTACCAGGATTTAGCCGACAGCCCCGATTTACTGGTGTACGTGGACGCATCTAGCCTGCCCAAGGATCACCCTTGTTACTCGACCTCGAGGAAGAAGACGCCTGGTCTGTTTTCAGACGAGACCGGCGGCCTCACCCTCTTTGAGATCGCTGCACTTCGTTCAAAGTGCTATGCATTTGACATGGAAGGCAGCGAATTCATCAAGTCTAAGGGGATCCGCGGACATGTCGTCCGGAACCATCTGTCTTTGGACGATTACAAACGATGTTTGTTTGAAGACGATGGCGACGATGGTGACGATGCGTCAAAACGAGCGTTGGCCGGAGACAATGCCCGTGTAGTCATCGGAGCCGTACGTGATGGTGAGATTCCACCGACATTATCATTACCGTACACTCCGTACCGACAGAACGTGTCAATTCGTTCTTTCGAGCACGAGGTACGCACTTTACGTACAACCAAGTTGGCGCTTAACCGTTTCGACGATAAGCGCTACACGCTCGACAACAGAGTTGACACGCTGGCTTACGGTCATTATGCCATTCCATCGGAAGAAATTTAAGCAACATTAGTTTTTATAGTAATAATAAGATTGTAAAACTCTTTAAATATCCATATTGATAAATGTAAAATATATTGTATGATAAACCGTGTAATTGAATTTTATGATAAGGTTTTTGTAAATATAAGTGTTGTATATAAATATATAGTTGTAAATATAGTTTTAAGATTTTTTAATGTAATATTTTAATGAATTGAATTGTAAATAAATGTAAGTTAGAATTGATATTATAATAAATGCTTAATTAATTAAAGTAATTACCCTCTATTTATTTCGATAATACCAGATAGATTATTTTACAATAGGTATTAATAACCTATAGTAAATACTACACGTAATTTAGAAATATTTATTTATTTTACTATAATCATTAATATACATTTTATTTAGGGAAAATATAATTATTGTACGAATACAAATGAGAATATTGCAAAATCATTTTTTGACAATAATGTTACATATTATAATTCATCCATTGTTTTAAGCAGATTGCCTTGTATAAACTACACACTGTCGGGTTGTTCATGTGTCGGATACAACACATTTTTGTAACACAACTTAAATTGTACAGCGGTGGGCAGTCCAAATCCTCGACGTTGACTATACGTTGTCCCGGTATGTACTTTTCCACTACTCGCTTTTTCACAGCTCCTTTCACGTAAATGGTCTCGCACCGCAACAGTTTCATGATTCTCGGCAACTCATTGTATTCAACGTCACCGCAACGAGTATCCATTCCATGTAGGTATTTTTTCAACCAAAAGTTTGTTTTAGCATCGCCCTCGATACTTTTTGGATGTTTAAACATCCAATGAGCGAATGAAGTACAGTCTATGGCAATGACAGTCAGTTCCTTGACCAAAAACGATCGGTCGGCTGCCACAATACCTTGTATATCGACAATCATTGAGGTGAGATATTGGTTTTGGGTATCCATGAATTGTGCTCTGGACCAAATCCTAACCATTTAACGAAGCACTGGTCCCCTCGTGTTCGCAACACTCGTTCGACTAAATACATGTCCGGATAACTGGTCTAGTTCAGCTCTTCGGTGTAAAACAAACCACGTATTGGATTTCCCTGATAGTCTTCTAGATACTATGTTGGTGGTACTGTTTGCCTAACCTTAACTACGGTAAACAGTTCGGTGCTCCAGTTTGGTAAGTAACCCTTATCAAACACTGATTTATGTACACTTATCCGCACCTTGTCTCCCACACGGAATTTTACCGGTAAATTATCCGGTATTTGACGCAACTTGAACCGAACCAGGTCTGGGTTTTTCACCGCTTGCACCGGTGTCATACCGATTGTTCTATGTTTACGCACGTTATTGTAGTCGTGCAACAGCGCAGACAACCGATTCACCCATTTGTACGAGCCACGTGCACTAAAGTCACGCCACATTGCGTTTTTCAGCGTGCGGTTAAAACGTTCCACTAGACACGCTTTCATCGTGGAATAAGTAGAGTAATGATTGATTGCGTATTGTGACATCAGTTTTTGAAATTGTTTATTGTAAAATTCTTTACCATTGTCCGTTTGCAAAAGCTTAGGATGACGACCATGTTTCAGTATTCCGTTCATGGCTGCGGTAACTTCGTTGGCCGTTTTATTTTTCAACGGGACGGCCCACGCGTATTTTGAAAATCCATCGACGCACGTTAAAATATACCGATGTCGTCGATCAGGGTATGCGCGCATTTCCACGAGGTCAGCGTGCCATATATCATCGAGACCCTTGATATTTATCCGGGCACGGGTATACGTCCTGCGAGCCTGCCGGTGTAGTTCGTTAGCAATGTTCTTATTCATAACGCCGCTGGTATCTGTTCAATGTAACCGGCTTCCTGCAGCTCTTCCAATATAGAAACGATTTCCGGTGAAACTCCAGTGTTGCCAGCCGACCGGGCTGATATCAATAAACGTAAACGTTCCACGAGCTCGTTGGAGTCGTCCCAGTAAACGTAATCTTTTTTTTTGTTGTTCAATCTCAATTGTAGACCCGCGCCCGATAATGGATGTGTCACTGATGTTGCTGCTGCTGCTTTCAAACAACGGTAAGGAATTGTTTGGGTTACCACCATAACCGTTATCAAACAATGGTTTAATGGTGTTTACATACTTTTGACCTCCTTTTTTCAATGTTCCGTCTTTATTTAAATGCACACCGGTTTTGCCGAGAATCGTTTTGTACGCATGCAAATCCGATTCGGAGTAAACTCCAGGGTTTTTCGAAAACAGTAAATCCACAAGACCCATAGTCAGAGGGAATTTTTCATCTAAAACATTAATTGTTCCTCTGTCGAGAAAGATATTGTCGGCTTCACCTAATGTCATTGTTCCATCTGGTGATACCTTTGGTCCATATATTTTATCTCTATTGGGGTTCATTGACCATTGATACATGTACTGATGGAAAAACCCGTCATCGTGTTCTACAGTGTATATATCATCGTTTAAACTCTTGATAGTTTGCTGTAATTGTTCTTGTTGTTGTTGTTGTTTTTGCTGTTGTTGCTGTTGCTGTGACGCAATTTTATCTAATGGTTCAATGATTGGCGCCAACTGACGTTTTACGCGAGTCAACGAATCCGCTTCTCCACGACGCAATTCTGTGTACTTTTTTCGAACATTTTCCCGGGCTTCAGTCAACAGTTTCAGCAATGTTTCCTTATCGGCACTCATATTGTAACAAATGTGTCAAACTTGTATCTGTATCGGCCGTCGTCTCGCGCAAAGTCCAAACAAATCACTGCGAATCCGTACCGATCCTTGTTCCAACACTCTTTGCAAAACTCTTTGAATTCTCCAAATTTCATATCGCAACACACGTATTCATCGTACGCGTGTCGTAGATTAACTTCATCCTGCCGGAACAACACCACCACATTTGTGTTGTCACGTAACATTTGTTTTTGTATGCGCGACAGTGTTTGGGAGAGAAAAAAAACATCAACTTGCCTGTGTCGTCCTCGCGCGAAATAATCACACATTACATTTTGTTTTTCCATGACAACATCGTCGAATATAAAAACCGAATTGGGCAGGATGTTGTCCACCGACGGTACATCGTCGCCGTTTTCATAGTTAAACAACTGCACTCCTTGGGCGCCGCGTAAAACATCCACGAGTAGTTGATACTTGCACTGATGCAACGATTTCGAGTAAACGTAAACATTTTCAAAACGAAGTCCGTTGATATCAGTCAATAGAGTATACATCAAGTTTGTTTTTCCACAATTTGACGGTCCGCAAATCAATGCACGTATTGTATTTGGCAATAGTTTACCGTGTTTACTAGGTGCAATCTCACTACTTTTTTCAAAATTCACGATAGGTAGCGTGAGAGTCTGTTTTTTGAAACGCATCGCACGTCATCGAACAATAACTGTCAATATGAAAATAATGGTTAAACAGAGACAACGTGGAAAACGAGGTGCAGGGATATTGAATACTGTAATCAACAAATTACCATTCGAAGCCCACATTCCAGGTGTGTGTAATTATTCAAAATAATTCCTCGCAAATAGTTTTATCATTATTTTAAATGTTTATCATTTAGGTTATCAATTTGCGGGTCCTGGAACACGGTTAGAAAAGAGATTAAAACGAGGTGATATTGGAGTGAACCCGCTTGATGCTGCTTGCCGCAATCACGATATCATTTATAGTAAATACAAGAATCTCGAAGACCGTCATAAAGCGGACAAGGTGTTGGAACATCAGGCTTGGGAACGAGTGTTGGCCAAAGACGCTAAATTGCCTGAACGAGTCGCAGCTTGGAGTGTGAACAACGCGATGAAATTGAAACGTAAACTCGGTATGGGTTTCAAACGAGTTGTGCATGCGGCCAAACTCGATAAAAATGCCCAACAAATGGATTTACTGAGTGTGGCAAAACAATCGTTGAAGGCGGCACGACGTGTGGTGAGAAAGAAAAAAATTCCACTGCCCCGTACCATAAACGTTCCAAAAACTAAAGGCGGTGTACTACCGCTTATACCTATATTTGCCGGACTGTCGGCGTTGGGAGCTTTAGCCGGCGGTGCTGCAAATGTGGTCAAGATGGCTACCGAACTTAGCCGTAAAGGCAATACAGCGATAAGCATGGGTAAAGGATTTTACTTGCAACCATACAAATCGGGGTCTGGTTTCAAATTGACGACGAGTACGAAAAAGATGATTCGAAAAAATCAGACGAAAAAAACAAAAAACTAATTTCGCAGCTACCCGATCGTGCCTTGTACGATGTTGAAATTGCAAATTTCGGTAGTCGAGCGTTCGACCATAAAGTGTTTCGTGGCGTGTTTTGTCGTGACACATTACCTAAGTCGGGACCGAAAATGACCGAAATGGCTGTAGTGAACTTGGATCTTTCCACTGACCCTGGCACGCATTGGGTAGCTTATAGTAAACGCGGTAAACGTGTTACGTATTTTGACAGTTTTGGTAATTTACCACCACCGTTGGAACTGCAACGATACTTTAAAGGATGTACAATCATGCACAACTATAGTAGATGTCAAAACTTCGACGAGGTAAATTGTGGTCACTTGTGTTTGGAATTTTTAATCGAACAACAACAACAACATGACAACAACGGTAACGTTAACCGGTGTGGGATCTGAATTGCAATGTACATTCAATCCACCCATCGATGTCGGTGACAAATGTAAAATTGGGCTATTGAGCTTGCATACGTGGAACACTATACCTAATATTGACGAGGATTGTAACAAATTCATTTTCGGCACTGTTGACAAACCAATTATGGTGATAACACTACCGACGGGATCGTACGAATTTGAAGATTTACAGAAACGAATCACGGACAAGTACAACGGAGAAGAGTATAAGTACAGTGTGCAACAACAACAAATAGATTTTGATGATCCATTGTTGCCAACGGTTGGTTTACTCAAGGAAAACAGCAGAGAAATCGGTGACAAAAAGTTGGGTGATCGAAACGTTATCTCTTTTACAGCCGACCGCAACACTATGCGAAGCATTATCAAATGCGATCACCCCATAGATTTTACACACCCGCAATCAATCGGTCGTATACTAGGGTTCCGACCTCGTGTATTGGCACCGAAAATGGAACACACGTCGGATTTCCCGTTATCTATAACAAAGGTTACATGCATACGAGTCGACTGCATTATAATTGTTGGTTCGTACCAAGGAGGACGTCAATCGCATACATTGCACGAATTCTTTCCAAACGTACCACCGGGCTACCGGATTATCGAGTGTCCCAGACAAGTAGTTTACTATCCGTTAAACACAAACGTATTGAACACGATTCGAATCGCATTGCTCGATCAGGACGGTCAACGTGTCAACCTAAGAGGTGAAAAATTAACAGTGCGTCTACATATCAAACAGGATGGATGAATGTACGTTGACGTTATGGGACCGTATAAAACAGTTTGATTCCTCACAAATTGGATTATTTTTGTGCATACTAGTCACAGTCGTGCAACTATTACTACTCCTTCAAACATCCGTCAACAGCTGTCAGCTGATAAACAGTGATAACAGCAACAACAACAACAGTTCAACCACAATTTATCGTTTGGAAGCACTGGCTCGAGAACTTTATTCAGTCGACGACCGTGTCTTTATACTGGAAAAACGTGTTGACACTCTTTAAATGCCTCTGAGTTTCAACAGGAGTGTAGTGCACCATCATTTGAGTGATGGCATATACTCTACGACGGAGCAACCGGATAATCGTGCGACGCTATCGCAGCAGCAACTAACAAAGAAAAATATTGAATTTTTAAAATCGTTGGGTTGTCGAGTCAATCATGGCCGAGTACTTGCACGTGTTGGAAAAATGTCAACAAGACGACAGTGTAAAACGCGAGTACTATCTGGAACATCAGAGTTACAACAACTCGTACGAACACAACGATGAAATCCGTATCGAGGTGCGCAACAAGGAGAAATTCACCGTGCCGTGCGAAAGTTATTTGCAAATCGAAGGAAAACTTGAAAAACCACCAGCTGGAACAGCCGGTGAAATGGTTATGGGGCAAAATTTTCTCATGCACCTATTCGATGAAATCAGATTTGAGGTAAATGGTAAAGAAGTAGACAAGATAAAATACGTTGGTATGGCTACAACCATCAAGGGATATTGTTCATTCACACCCAACGACATTCGACGATTACAACCTGCCGGATGGAAATACGCGCAAATTTTGCACAACAACAACGATTTCGTCGATGGGACTGAATTTGTAGCGCAATGTCCATTATCTATGTGCATGGGATTTTTCGAACGGTATCGGCGCACACTGATAAACTGTACTCAGACTCTCGTGTTGAATAGATCGAGTACCGACAGCACTGTCGTATCATTGGTTCCACAGACAACAACAACAACAACAGACGATAAAGCGCAAGTTGCAACATTGATAAAACAAATCAACGTGAAAATATCGAAAATCAAATGGGTAGTAAAGTACTTTGAACCCAGCGTGAAAACTGAACTGGGTCTGATGCGTATTCTGGACAGCAAGAAATGGCTCCCGTTAGAATTTCAACACTGGGACGTTGCCGTTTACCCGTTGGTACCGCAGACAACTCATCACACGTGGTCGGTGCGCACCTATTCGAATGTGGAAAAACCTAGATATTTACTTATTGCCATGGGTAATGAGGACGAACACGTTCTCGGAGATTTCAATCACTGTTCATTGAGAAACGTCAAAGCGTATCTGAACGCTGACGAATACCCGTACGAGAACCAAAACGCCGATTTCGACAACAACAAGTACACAACGTTTTATAACTCGTACGCACAATTCCAGACAATGTATTACGGTCGTAAAGACCCCTATCCTTTATTGGACTATATAAATTACAAAAAACGTGGACCTATAGTCGTGATTGATTGTTCTAAACAAAACGACACCGTCAAGTCTTCAACGGTTGATCTACGCTTGGATTTCGAATGCTCCAAACAGTTTCCCGATAAAACATCATTGTATTGTGTAATTATTCACGACTGTCAAATGGAATACAACGCATTCACGGGAGAAGTACGAAAACTTTAATGTAAATACAAATTTCATTTTTTATTATTGTACAATTTACAATATAGTATAGAAACAAAAAATGTATATATAATTGCTATAATGTATATATATAATTTTTTTTAATAAAAAACTAGTTGTTTTGTAAACTTGTTATTTTATTTCAATCATCTTCGAATTTGACTGGAAAAGCCACGATCTTTCTTGTCAATTTTTGGCAAAGTATCTATTCCTAGAAATGATCTGTTTGTAGCCAATTCCACCAGATTGGAGAAGTAATATACACGCTGAAAATTTTTTTTAAGTTTAAGTTTTAAGATGAAAACATTAAATATTTTTAAACCTACTTTCATGTGTGGATAATCACTGAAGATAATTTTCAATGTTTTAATACAATCTATACATTGATGAATCGATCAAGTCGTTGATTTTATTGAATTTACACCTTGGTGTAGCCATTGTGATTAAAGTCTCAAGGTCCAATAGTCTTTACTGTCGCTGCGGTTCGCATTCGTTGTCTTTTCAATTGTTTCGATTGAATCCAAAAGTTCGTAATATATTCGCTTCACAACTGAGCATGCACATTCATGATTTTCCGAATTTTTTCCCACTTCCGAAAATTCACAACTCTATCCGTCGGATTGTTTTCAACAAGAAAATTCAATTTATCCGATATATCATTGAAATAATCCATCTTGCGCAAACAATAGATTAACAAATACTGAGAACCTATTAGAAGTCAGCATACAATGTTATGTTGCTGCTCCCCCCCTCCTCCTTTCCAAATATCTTTTAGATAATTAATTCGTGATAACGGATAAGGTGTATATGACTAAGATATTAAAATATTACTAGATAAATGATTGTAATGAACACTGTCCACCTACGTCATTCATACCCATGCATATAGTAGTATTAAGCAAAGACAAAAAATTCAGTTTTCCTTCATGCAGACATGCATGCAAATTTATATACGTTTTAATTATTATAGTTAAATATAGTTATTTAAAATAGCGTACAAAATTAAAGTGTAATGTTTATACATATTTGTCATTAAGATTTAAAACAGATGCCTTTGTAAAAATTATGACCGTCTGCCGTCTCTAATGCGTTGACGGATGAAGAATGCAATCCTTCCAGTCGAAGCTATTATTTTATTAAAAATAATTTATTACAGTTGTTAAATACGGTAATAATTTATAACAATGGGAGGGATACCAGTAATAATTCAGACAAAATATATATATACGACATTAATCGATAAGTATAATACAGATTATAATAATATTATAAACATTATAATATATATGTTCCAGTGATTACGTCGTCGTCGTCGGCGGCGGCGGCGGTAGTGTTTATTTAAGAATGTGTTTTGCTATAAGAAAACTTGAAAAGTCGCCATTAGTATATATTGTCTACAGAAAAAATATTGATTTATTATTCACTATACGAATAACGGTCAAGCTTATTAACTCGTATAATAACAATTAATCTAATTGACGGCGACATCGCCGACGCCGTCGCCGCCGCGTTGGGCCATCTGCTGTATTAATCTCAAGTGCTATAGTGTAATCATCAATACAGCCATCTGGCACACAATGTTTCGAACTAATTTTTTTCCACAAATTAGGTAAAATTAACATTTTACGTATGGACTTTATCTAAATGTGTGCATGTCGCATATCAAAATAGCGGATTCGACGTTTAAAAATTGTACTTTTCACCGTAACCGTATAGCTTACCTGGAAAATGCATTTTTTTTTTTTTCCCCAAAAAACCGATATTATGTATATATGGGCGAGCATAATTTAGGCGCGTGACAAGTTGTGTTAGTTTACGTCGTGTTTCATTCCCCCCCCTCCCACCTATAGGTTTGTTTACCTTTAGTTTCATTACCCCTCTCTCATAAGACTTGGTGGAGGAAGAGAGGTTCCTCACCTGATTTAGGTTAGTTTACGTTGGATTTACTCCCCCTCCACCCCTCTTCCCATAACCACGATGGTAGGGTGGGTGGGTGAAGCGGAGAGGGCCTAGAATCCCCAATATTACCCTACTAACTTACTTTTGAAAATATCCGGTAATACTGTGTCCTTTAAACATATATAAAATTAAAGCTTATGTCATATACTATAAAATTAAAAAAAACCCAGCACAGGGGGGTCGCGGCACAGT